ACTAATAAATGGTATATAGATGGCATTTAAATAAGACTTTTAATAGACAGAAATGTGAAAAATGTGGCAAAATTTGCATTTTTTTCTGTAGAATGGTAAGGTCACTACCATATACGATTGACTCTTCAGGTGACCTTACAACTTCTCAAACGGATTTATCTTCACACATATTTGCTTTCAGGTCTATTTCTGTAACAAATAGTTTCACTTTTATCAAGATTGTACTTTAGAGATCAAATTGCTTTCAACTTTGTGCCTTGCTCTGCCATGTGTTTAGTACTTCAAAGTGCAAAGCTGATACCAAATTAAGACATATTATTCTTCTCTCATACTTAAAATCAGCTACAATTTGCTACTAGTTATCTCTTATGTTATCACCAGAAGTTGTATTTAATGTGATGAATTTAAAGAGTCAAGATATACTGTGAGTCCCTCAACTGCTGCTCCACAGGGCTTGTGTCTCCTTCAGGTTCTGACTCACATTCTGTCTCATGCCCTGTGTTCTTTAGTTCCTCTTTGCTCACCAGCCATGTGTGGATGTTTCAGATATCCTAGGGCAACTTAGAATGGTTTTCTGGAAGTAATACTGAAGAATCTGGGTCTTGTCCGTGTCGCTCAACTACTCTTGTAGATGTCCTTTGGAATTCTACATAAAATTCATTCTTAAAAAACAAGATCTCCTTAAAGTTGTGACCTTTCTTGGGTCAAGCTTATGAGGAAAACCATTCCACGCTACTATGGTATCTATAGAGGTGCAAAAAATACCTCCAACCTTTAATTTAATCTTTTTATTAGGCTGTTCTCAGACTTGCACTTAGAGTTTACAATAGACCATTTGTTCTATTACCAGTTTCATTAAATGTTTACCTTTTTGGTTTGTTGACATATGCTTCACAAGATCTCTAAAATTATTTTTAAAATTATGTGCTGGGTTTGTGTGTGTGGCAGGGATTTTTGGTAGTGGTGGAGGGTGCTACAGATGTGGCCCCTGTAAGAAGCTTCTCAAAGCTCCCCTGGTTCCAAGTCAAATCTGCCTCTGCACCAAGGACAAACTAATTAGCCGTGCCTCTGTGATAACACATTTAGGAAGGAGAACCTGGGAGAAGGAGTGGGAATTGTGATGAGAAGTTGAGGAAGACACTTATGCAAACACTGAGGTCAGTAGAAGAAAGGAGGAGGAAGTGGGAGAGGTGTGCTAGTGCAGAGACCCCCCTGCAGCCTGTGATGAGAGGGCAGGGCTGCTGTCCCTGCCACCCATGGAGGTCCATGATAGAGCAGATGCCCACCTGCAACCTGTGGAGGGCCCCATGCCAGAGCAGGTGGCTGTGCCTGTCTTCTGGGAAGAAGCCCCCATTGTTGTTGTGCAGTACTGGGAGAATTGCAACATGGGGAGGGGGACACCCATGCTGGAGCATCTTGGGAAGAATTGCATCCCATGGGAAGAACTCACCTCAGAGAAAGTTCATGGAGGACTGTCTCCTGTGAGAGTGACTCATGCTAGAGCAGGGGAAGAATGCAAGGAGTGCTCCCCCTGAGGAGGAAAGAGTGGCAGGACTGAATGCAATCTCCGTTCCCTGCCCCCTGTGCCACTGCTGGGGAGGAGGTAGAGAAATTGGGACCAAAATTGAGCCTGGGAAAAAAGGATGGGTGGGGGAAGGTGTTTTTAAGATGGGGTAATGCTTCTCACTGTCCCACTCTGTCTGTTAAATGTTATTGTTAGAATTTGAATTCAACTGATGTTTTTTTTCTTCCCCTAACGAGTCTGTCTTTTGCCCATGATCATAATGGTTGAGTCATCCCTCCCTGTCCTTATCTTGATACCAGAGCCTTTTGCTTTATTTCTCCTTCCCATTCATGCAGAGGAGGGGGTCAGTGGTGCTCAGTTGACCTCTGGGCTTAAATTAAGACAAGTTATTATTGTCATTATTCTGTTATGAAGTCAGGGAGTAAGTTATTTTCAACAGAAGAGACTGACAATACCATGGTAAAACAAAAGAAAACAAAACAAAATAAATGAGATCATAAAAAAAAAAAAATAAGAGAAATTTAGTTTATTGTGTTATCAACTATTAAATCAAAAGTGTTTAAGAAAGATTCATTTATTATTCTTCAACTAAAATGTGAAACCTTTATCTAAAACCATCTCTCTGTAGGATAAGTATATTTAGAGATTCTCTAAAGAAAAGCTATGATCAATGAATTATTTGAGTAACTGGTGGGTTGACCCTGGCTGACTGTCAGACCCTTACCCAGCTGCTTTCGCACCCCTTCTCCTCAACAGGACAAAAGGAGAACATAAAATGGAAAAACCCAATGGTCAAGATACAGACAGGGAGATCACTTACTAATTAGTGTTATAGAGAAAATAATTGACATGGGGAAAACAAACTTAATTTGTTGCCAAATAAGATAGAATCGGATGCTGAGAAACAAAGACAAAAATTAAAACACCTTCCCCTGACCCATCGCTTTTTGTCAACTTCACTCCTTTATTCCTGACTTGTCTACCTACCCTTAGCCTGAGCAGCACAGGGGTGACAGGGAATCAAGTGTTGTGGTCATTCCATAACACTTCACCTCTGATGCTCCTTCCTGAAAATACTTTTCTGCTGCTCCAGCATGAGTCCTCTCCATGGGGTGAACTTCCTTTAGGAAGTGTTCACCTGCTCTGGTGTGAGAACATCTATGGGCTGCATTGTGGATATCTGTGCTGATGTGATCCTCTCCACACAGTGCAGGAGCACCTCCTCCCTCTCTATCTCTCGCCTTGTTGTCTGCAGGATTATTTCTTACTTTTTTTTTGTTTGGTTGTTTGGTTGGTTGTTTGGTTTTTTTTCTTTTTTTTTTTTTTTCCCTAATTTTTCCCCTACTCCTCTGTCCTGGGAAGCATTTTGCCTTTTCTTGAGTACATTTTCCCAGAGGCACCACCATCCTGGCTGAGGGGCTCTGCTGTGTCCTGTTGTGGGTCCATTGGATCTATCTAGAACTGTCTGTGTCCAGCATGGGACAACTCATTTTATCTCATCACAGAAGCCACCCCTGAAGTCCCCTCACTGCCAGAACCTTGACACCTACACCCAATAAGGCGACCTTTTCTGTACTTCCAAATTTTCCTTCTTTTCGTTACATCTGTAGTACATAAATTGATTTGTCAAATATGTGTGTGTCTTCTGACACTAAATACTTTGGACTATGTAGACTTCTTAATCCACACATGAAAATATTTCACAGGGTGTATACAATGTGCATTAAATGACAATGATACAACAATTTGGCCTCATTCTTTTCTTTGGATGAGATGTTCTGTTTAGGATATAAGCAATATACCAAGTGGTAACTGTGTTTGAAGACTTCCGGCACCTCTGACCTACAGAATACACTGTTTTCTTCATTTCAGACACTGTTTTTTAAAACTCATGATAGATATTTCTTTTTCAATAAAATGTTATTGAAATCTTAGAAAGGTCCACAAATGAGATATAATATCAGCAAAATCCTCAGGGAAGGTACCAAGATTCTTTCGTTTAAATTTATTTTTCTTGATGATATATTTAGAGAAACAAAATCTTTCAGATTTGTTATAATATGCCTTGGGTATCTTTGATTTTCTTTTCCTTTTGGTCATTTACTGGTGAGAAAAAGGAAATATTTTAATTTGTCCAGGAAAGCCATTTTATACTATTATAAGATTTCAAAGGTCTGAAAGAGACTTCAGACTAGTTAAAGGCCTTATCTGTATTAGTGAGATGGAGAAATTGAAAATAAAAATCATCATGGGCTAGCTCATCTTTTTGAAATTTAATATAAAGAGTCATTCAATACATTACACTATCACCTCTTAAGTTTGCAAAGCAAACTTAACTGACTTAGATGTTTAATTATACCACCACCCTTGCAACATCAAGGAAATATTTGTGGGGTTTTTGTTTTTCCTTTTGACTATTACAGGATACAAGAGGTCTATCATGGCTGATCTTCCTTGCGTGTGCCTACCTTTAAGAAGTGGTTCTAGATTTTAGATTCTGAGTAGACATAAGTACTATGCGTAGTCAAAATTCAGGCAGAAAATCTATGATGAATAAAAAAAAATGTCAAACACATGCTTACTGTTGCCCATGATAAGACTCTTCTCATCTAATTTTAGCCATTTAAAAGTCAGGTGTCTAGTTTAAGTTATTGATGGAATCTGCTTCCACTGATAGTGGAGAGAGAGTGGCATCTCCATCAAGTTGCTCATCCTTGTAACAGATGTAGGCTGAAGAAGTCATTACCTGAACGGTTATTATGTTTCTATATTAACTGTGGAAGAAATTTGAATAACTTGAAGAAACATTTCTGGAGACCTAAAGATAGGTGAGATGAGTCCTATTCTTTTTAAATTTTCTCTAGACATTTTTATTCCATGCATTTTTGGCTTTCTCTAGATAAAATATGAATCAGGGACAGTACTATGCAAGCAAATTGTTTAAAAGAAAGAAGAAAACCCAAAACCTTCAAAGAATATTAATCAGCAATATGCAATTAGTGGCTATTTTCTAAAAGCTGAGTCTGTTATTGGGATGCAAAAAGCGGCTAAGAGATGTTCAAATTCACTAGTGTTGTCTCCCCTGATCCTTTGAGAGCAGGATTGAGAGTGGCTCTGCTAAAGGATAAGAAACCTATAATTACTTTTTTTTTTCTCAGTCTATTTTATCATACAAGCAATTTTCTGTCTTACAGAGAAGCTCGTTTTATTTCAAAGACTGAAAGTGATCATTAATCTCTTTCATAGCCTCTTTTTCAAGTGAATCTGAAATTAATCAGAAACTTTCAATTTAACCAAAGTGAAGCAAGTTTTTTGTTGCTTTCTGTTTTGTGTTTTTTTGTTTTGTTTTGGTTTTGTTTCTTTTTTTTTTTTTTTTTCCATGTGAACTTAAGGTTCATCATAACCTTTATAAAAAAGCAACATGACATTGTATGGGCAAGGTATAAGTAAGGAGAAGTATGGAAAACTATGTTTCTTTTCTGTTTCTGTGAAGAATGCAGTGTTTTGAATGAAATTCTTCACATTTGTGAGCATCAAAGTAGTGAGCAAATGACAAGTGCGCTATATTTCTGTCATTTATCTGCAAGTGGCACTTGTAGGAAACAGAAAAACAAAATGTATGTAGAAAATCCAATCTAGGTCAATTTTGCATTGATCTGGATCAACTTTCCCTTATATCTAAGTCCTCTATGCATTTTGTGTGAGTTCTGCTGCTGAGTCTAATACACGAGTCTACATTTTCAATAAACATAGTATTTCAGTGATACTGAAAACTCTTTAATATATTCACACACAAAGCTTTAATGAAAAATTATGCAGACTTTCATAGGAGCAAACAGGATTTATTAAAGTTTATGACAATTCTGAAGAAATTACTCTAGAAAAAACCAATTTTAATAGAAAATGCTATTGTTTTTCTAAAGGCTTTATAAATCATCCCCCCCCAAAACATACTGAGAAATACAATTCTCTACTGTATTTGTAAGATGATCAAATATTTATAAAAAAGTCTTTTTAATGTTCTATAGTATTTCCTCAAATTATTTTTAAAAAGTAATAGATACCTCAGTTCTTAATGAATGTTGATTCTGTTTCAATTTCCTATAATAGTTCTTAGCATTGATTCTCTTTTTTGGGGGGTGGGGGGATGGGATAAATATTTTTTCTCTCAGTATCTGTATGTTTCCATGGAAACCTCATTCCTTGACTGTTACATCTCCTATGTTGTTTTTATATTATTTGGTGGGGGGGTGTTTGGTTTGTTGGTTGTTTTGTTTTGTTTTGTTTTGTTTTGTTTTGTTTTGTTTTCCTTGTCCTTTAGTATTTATCTTTACAATGGAGTTTCCTCAAACTACATCTCATTGATTCATACAGGAATAGCATCTCTCACTGCCACTGTCACATCCTTTTCAGATGGAAGGAACCAGTTCTGCCATAAAGTGTCTCAGTAAGTTTTCCATTATCTACAAGGATATAGAAATTCTTTACTTCTCATTTCTTTAAAAAACATTCAAATCCCAGAAGAATTAAAATCCTTTCTACATGTACAGAGTCAGCGAAAAAAAAGAGGTGGACATATTTTCAGTACTGGTTCTTATGGCAAGTTCAAAAAACTTTTTATTTGAAAAATTTTACTATTTAAATGTTTTGTTTAATTAACAGGATATTAAAATCCTTAATATCATGACAGTGTAATGCAACAATAATCTGATGTGATTGAACAATACTAATAGAACACAATAGTCAATAATATAATGTGATGGACAGTCACAGCTATTCATATGTTATTTTGATGGGCTGGAGTTTCAAAGGGCATCATATCAGAACACTTAGAATGCATAACTTCTGAAACCCTAAGACATGATTATAATAATAATCAGATTACTGCTTTGTACTTGCTGGAAGCTGTTTGCTATTTCTATGGGTTCACACTAGTGCTGCTATGTTATCTCAAAGAATTTCAGATGAGATTGCATCAGAATGAGAACATTTATTTGTAGAGTTTTTATACATTTATGCATCAACAGAGAATGTATAAAAAGGTAGCTTCTGAAAATACATATTGCTTCAGAATTATAATGAAAGGATCTTTATGAGAAGGAATATTTTGGAACTTCTCAGTGCATAGCCAATCACCTAAATACAGTTTTTCCCCCTAAAGTTTCAGTAATTTTTATGTCAGGTTTTGGATACATTTTTATTTATTAAGCTTAAATAATTATTTAAAAATTTCAATTAAATATTCCCAAAATGAATTACTAACATTTGATAGGAATTTAGATTAATATTATTAAAGGTAGAATACAAGTAATTTTTGAAAAAGCTGTATAAAAGTGGAGGAAATAAACACATCATCACTACCTTCATTATATTGTATGTGACAGTATTAAATGGAATATCAAATCTTATCGCATTGTGTTACAGATTTGTTACTACTGGTTCTTCCTCCAATGCCTGAATGTCTTATGCTGTGATTATGCTTACAAATTTCTAAATTCTATGTCAATCTTCTTCCAATAATGTTTTTCTAAGACCTCCCAAATGTATACATTTAGTATCAGACCATATTGCAGTATGCTATGTGGCATTCTCTAGCTCGAAATACTCGATGCACTCAACATAGTCTTTATATTTTTATAGATTTGTAAGGCCGGATGGAATTATTATATATTCTTAGCCTGATCCTCCATATGACACAGGATTATTATTTTTCTGTATTGATCTCTTTTGGACTAGAACATATCTTTCAGGAAAACAAGCAAGTAAGCAAACAAACAAACCCAACACATGTAACAACTTTGTTTTTTAGTAAATTTCAGTAATAATAATCCACTACACCTTTAATAAAATTTTCAACTACCAAAAGTAATCTCTGGCAAAGATTTGTCAATTTATTCTGGTTTAAATTTGGCTTACTCTAATAGTGAGAAACTCAGGAACAGGCAATCTATCTGACTGTATATTAAAATATTTTTGTACAAAACAAACCTCATCCTTTGCTTGTAAAACAGTCTGGTATTTTTTCAAAATTTCACTTTTGACATAACTGTTCTTTTGTGTTAGAGGGATTAATGTCTGTCTACCTAAAATGAGCTAAACTACATGTTCTTTACTGAAGCCTGTACTGGTTTTGGCTGGGGTAGAGATAATTTTCTTCATAGTAGCTAGTATGGGGCTATGTTTTGGATTTGTGCTGAAAACAGTGTTGATAATATAGGGATGTTTTAGTTATTTCTGAGCAGTGCTCACACAGAATCAAGGCTTTTTCTGCTTTTCACATCACCCCACCAATGAGCAGGCTGGGGGTGCACAAGAAGTTGTGAGGGGACACAGCCAGGACATTTGACCCCAACTGACCAAAAGGATATCCCATACCAGTATGACTTAATGGTCAGCATATAAAGCTGGAGGATGAAGCAGGAAGAGGAGGACATTTGGAGTTATGGTGTTTGTCTTCCCAAGTAATGTTTAAGCACGATAGAGCCCTGCTTTCCTGGAGATGGTTGAATACCCTCCTGCTGATGGAAAGTGGTGAATGAATTCCTTGTTTGCCTGTTAACCTGTATTTATCTCAGCCCATGAATTGTCTCACTTTTACCTTTCTGAATCACTCCCCTATCCCATCTGGGGCGAGTGAGCGATCAGCTGTTTGGGGCTTAGTTACTGACTGGGATTAAACCATGACAAAGCCCTATAATTATATTTTCCTGGTATATTATGACTACAAGGGATATAATCTGAATATATTCTATTTCCTGATATATTCTGAAATAAGTTTGCTTTGCCTTAGCTCTCAGTATATGTGAATTTTCTTTGCTTAATTCTGAGATGACCAAAGACTTTGGGACTGTTAACACAGAAAAAAAACATATCAAACCAACCCAAAACCTCATGAGTTAATGAACGATTTTCCCCCAGTAAGTTTTATGAAATTGAGCTCTGCATCTCATTACCACTGTCACTGAGCTTTTGGTATGTGCAGAGCTCGGGCGCAGCAAGTCATGTCTGCCTAACACACATCATTTAAGCAGTGTAACATCTATACAGGAAAAGGACCTTGTGTCTATGGCTATTAGGAGGTGAAATATGAATTTTCTGTGTCTCCTGAACATCTGTTGTTCATCATGGTGTACTAGATGTCCTCCAAAGGAACCAAACACATTTCTGCATCTTCATGTCCAGAGAAAAAAATTTTACCTTTTCATCATGCTCATCCAAAGAATGCATTTATATTTTCAAAGTACATCTCCCCTGTCTTTCATTTTGATAGGTTAAGAAAGGAAAACTTTTCATTTTCTCCTGTAAAACTTTCCATTTCCTAGATCTTTACAGTAACCTCCCTCAGTCCAGTTTTAGTTAATCTTTCAGAAACATGGATAAGCTCCTTCAATGCCTTCTATGTTGTAAACACGGTTCTCCTTTTACTGGAATTACCTTTACTGATGTATGCCAAGATTGCTTTTACAAGCTCAAGACACTGTATGAATCTAGAAAGACACCTGGATGCCAAGGTGTGTAAAATGACACAAAGATTGGAACTTTCACTTCTAACTTGTATGTAGACACCTTCATGTAGAGCTTTACATTTAGGAGTCTTAATTTTGAATCCATTAACACCCTTATTTTGGGAAAACAAAACAAACAAACAAACAAACAAAAGTCTACTAAGTTTGCTGCAGAATACTATTGTTACTACTAAGCAATGGTTCAAGTCCCTAAATAAGGAGGGAAACCATAGGCAATGACCAGTATGATAACTTTCACAGGTTCTAGAAAACCTACAAATCAGACTATGTATTTTGACACAATCTGCTATTTATACCTGTACATTGTTCATGAAGTCTTCTCCTGTGAGTGTTCCATATTATTTATGTTCCATTATAGTTTACTGTTGTCATTATTGTTATTACTTTACTGTACTTGACTAAACAGTATCAGCATTGAGAAAGAACTTAACAAACCAGTTATATTCAAAAGTATCCATTTACCATTTCTTGCCTGCTCTTTTGGATGTTCATATAAGGAAAACCAATATGACAAGCCTAATCTGTTATATGCAATTCCATATTAAATAATACTATTATTAAGTTAAATTTAGTTCATCAAATTCCATGGTAAAAAAACATGAAAAACAAAAGTAGCACACTGAAACTAATGGTTGAAGATATAAAATCCTGTATGAATTCAACTGTATTTTTATATAAATAAATTAAAAACACAGCTTTCAATTTTCTAGAATTAGTATAATATCCAAAGTGTAAGAAAGAGATATGTTGTTCTTTCTTGGCCTTACTCTACTAGGATGAAGGAACTCTTGCTGCTGGAGCATATTTCTGTATCTTTTATCCACATTTTAACACGTAGAAATGCATGCTGACTTGTGGGAAAAGGCTGTAATCATTATAAAAACTTTCTTCAGCCCTACAACTCAAGTCAGATTTATAGGACAGTTTACCAGTTGTGCTGCTTTTAATCTCCTGACAAGCTAAGGATTAAACTTCAATTTTTGTAGTAATAGTGAAATACCCTTCTTAACTCTGGTCTTGTATTTTCTTTATAAAACAAATCATCTGAATATGGGAATTCAGATTTTTCAGTATTTTGTCTTTCTTAAGTTTTCAGATGTTCCTTCTTCCACAGAAAATACCTCTTCATTTTTTAAAACCCCTACTAAATTGCAGCTCCTACTTGTTTTATGTTGAAAGAAGATAATTTCTTTTTTTTTTTTTTTTACATCATTTCCATATTTTTAGTTTTTCCTCCAAATTCTTTCAAATTTAAATGATTTTTTCTTTTTAAATGATTGTTATTGCTACCAAAAAAATTAATCCTTAAAATAACAACAAAAAATAAAAAAGGGTACAGTCTGCTGGTAATCCATTAACCAGACTATTAATGAACCCATTAACAAATAAAACCCGAGACTCTCAAATCAGTGAAAGAGAAAGAGATGGGTCATTATTCTGAGTAGCCATTGTTAATCAATCTCTAGAACCTCTGTATGTAAAAAAAATTGCGTCTTTAGAGAACACTGAACTTATTCTATGTCTAAAAGAATTTATAGAAATTATGTGGAGTAGCTGACTGAAGCATACTGAAAATCCATGGGCCAAAAATTTTCTCTCAGTTACAATAGTGTAAATCCAGAGTATCAGCAGAGTTCTAAATTTTCCCCTGATGTCAGATTCAGTGTGGTATAATGAATAGAATGAGTATCACCTTCAATATTTAAGAGAATTCCAGCTAAATTTAAAGGGGATTCCCCTGGTGGTATAAAATATATGTGCATATAATTTTTATCTTGAGAAAGTGGAAAATGAAGGGTTTTAGCTGAGACTAAAATAAGCAGTCATGAATATATCTTCTGCATTTTTTCCATCACTGGTGTACTTCCTTCATCCCGTGTCTCTTCCTCATTTTTTACTTCTCCAGCCATATAACACTTCATTACTGCTATTAAGTTTAGTCAGAAAAGGTGGCTTAAGTTTTAATATTTGTAAGAGAAATATGGTTAAAGATATTGCATTAATTTAAACTGAGCACTTTTTTTTTTTTGTTCTACAGGAAAGTTCCATATGGCATTTCTATAGTATGGAAAAAAATAACAGATTCAAGATTTTTTTTTTAATGTAGTCATTTTTAGATTTTTATCTCTGTTTAGGTCAAAGAATTTCAGCTATGCATTTCTGTTTGTCTGAAGAACCTCATTTTCACTTGTACAAGTCACCTTTTTCTGGATGTCTTATTATGAAGAATAAGATGAAAATAGATTAAATAAGTAGACTTAATAAGAAATTGAAATGTTCTGGTTTTGCCTTGTTTTTACAGTAGACAAGAAACTACCTATAAAATACGTGTTTGCATTTTTAGGCTCTAAAATAGTGAACAGTCATAGAAGTTGCCTTTAGAAATTTAGAAATACTCTATTTTTTTATTTTAATATTTACTAATATGGTATCAAAAGATTTAGAGGTCAGTGACACATTACACTTTTTTTCCTTTACAAGTAAAATTTTTATCTTTTTAAAATAATATTATTAAATTACTTTATTAGACCTTTTTTTCTTTCTTTCTTTTTTTCCCCAGGGTATTCATTCCAGGGTGATTGTCATAATATCTCCCTACTTTGATACTTCTGCTTTATCTGTTGCACTCAGCAGCCAGGAGATGAACATAAAAGCTCCAGAAGCTGATTAAAATTCTGAAGCACATTTGTCATCTATTAAGTTATCACTACAGTTGCAAAAATTTCGTAAGGTTAATTGTCTTACCAGGTAATGCAAAAAAGTATGCATTAAAAAAAAAAAAAAAATCAATCTGTATCTTCCTTGATTAAATAACCATTCAGGATTTTGTTACAATGTAGCTGTTAACACTTTCTTACTGTTAACACAGAACAGTCTTCATGATTACATTGTTTTTAAATCAAGAATTTTGGTCTAAGAAGCTAAAGAAGCAAGAGCCTCACACAATGTAAAGAATATTTGTCTGGCAGCTCTGAAGCTGCGGCTAGTGTATGTTCCTGCATTTTAGTCAATGACTAATACAAAATAAATAATCTACTTGTTTTGGGATAGCCTAGAGGATGTATTCATTCTCTCCTGCGTGGCCTTCTGTTTAGAGTATTCAGTAAGTACAGTCCCCTTATTTCCCTGTGATGTCAGGGAAAATTCCTGAAAAGTGGGAGCTGTGGTTATGTATTTCTTTAGGCTTGCCTTGAAACTGACATGCTGTTTTAGATGGTTTGCGTTGTTCTAGCTATAAAGCTGTTCTGCAAAGGCTGAAGATCACCTCTTACTTTCCATAAGTCCTTCTTTATGATATCTCCTATCAGGTTATATATGTCTTAATACATTCAAAAGATAGGGTAATCTGTGTGGCTGGATATGTTTTTATGTGCATGTGTATTGTACATGTGACTTTGTGTGTCTGCTGAGAATACATGCTCAGGTTCACTATTGAAGCCTGAGGACATGGAGCTGTGTCAGCCTTGCCTTCACTGGACAGCTGGATTTGGGTCTCCTCTAACAGATATTCCAAGATAAATGATATATGTTTCCTTCAGCATAGCTCTCTAAACAGCACAGTTTCCTGAGACATTTTGTAATGTTGCTTTTCCCCCTGGCCCATTTCTGGCCCATGTTGGGAGTATAGTTTCAGTTCCACTGGTTTGGATAACTAGGCTAGGACAATCCTGTGGATGTTGTACTGCCTAACCCAAGGAAGTTGGTCTTAAAGAATAACTATTGAAACATAGGTAGTGACACAGCCACATGCACACAGAGATAGTTTAATAAACTGAAGCAGAACAGGGAAGAAAACTAAGGACATACATACATTTTAGTATTGTCTCAGGAATAAAATTATTTTTAATTACAAAATTTAAAAAAAATGAACAAAGAGAAAGGAAACCAGAGTGAAAATTATATTATATAAAGGGAGTGAGAAGTGTTCACAACATAGGTAGATTGAAAACCAGATTCAAAACCATCAAAGAAGATGGAAAGGGAAAAAAAATATAGAGATCAGACTAAGAGAGATTCTCAAATATCTATGTGAGAAAAGAAACAATAAGTCAATGACAGGCTTATATGTATAATTTTTTAAAAATTGGAAATACACACTAAATAAATGGAAATAGATATTTCTGAATAGATAGGGAAAAGTATGTGATGGAAGTTGGAGTGGAGGTTAAGTTAATCTGAAGGAAGAATCTGGTATTGAAAGAAGAAAAAAAAAAAAAAAACAAAACAGAAAAGAACCTGGAGAGCTTTAGACAAAGAGCTTTTTGTAAAAAGTAACAGAACTGTTACACTGAGAATGAAGAAGAATAACTTCAGTAGAAAATGTTTTGAAATATATAGAATAAGTTGTCAGTTTATCATTGAATTTAGTCCCTTGCAATCACATACACCCAAGAACTCAAAATTTTATTTGAAGCATTTGTAAAGTAGCCACTGTAAATTCTACCACACTCGCAAAGCAAAATCCAGTTCTACAAATTAAGAAAATCTATATATATACTTAAAAAAAGACTAAAAGACACAGCTGTGAAGCTCTGTTAAAAGGGAGCAAGAAACATCAAAGGTGCTGCAATTATTCTACTTTCAGCAGTATGAAATTTGATGATCTCCATGTCAAAGGGGAAAGGAAAATAATCCCAAAGAGTATCTCAAAATTAATATGTTGAGGCTTTATTCTTGTGCCAAAGTGTGGTAATAAACTAAACACTGAGTACTTGAGCAAGACATCAACAAGGAACATTTGAGATTTTAAACAGCAGTGAAAAGACTTTATATTCTGTTATGCACACTATATTTTTCTGTGATCAGTATCTAATGTTTGATAGGAAAGTGAAAAAACCTTAAACATTGTATATGAAGGGCAGAGAAAAAAATCTTCCCAGGCTGCTGTAAGAGATAAGCAGAGCTATGAAATATGCATTTAGTATAATAAAACATTCTGAAAAGCAGAAGTACAGCTGAATCTAGTGTTAGGTCTATTTGAAATGGGAATGAAAGTGGGACTACAACTAGAAAAAAGCTCTTGCAGATAGACGCTGTATTTTTTCAGATGGAAAAATGTCATAAAATTCAGATTTTTAAAGTTTGTTTGATATTTTTTATCTGCCATTTTCATTTAAAAAAAACAGAACAAGTATTTTCTGAAAAAAAAAAAAAAAAAAGTTTTCAACTATTAGTGTAAATCTCCATTTAGTTCTTGGTGGTTAAAATTTACTGTTGTACCTGCAATGGATAATAGCCTAGGGTATGTTAACCCTAGTAGTTTGTGGCCTGAATTACTGTTCTCTTGATGTTAGAAACCATGATAATGAACTGTTATTGCTGTAATATTTTGTGAACTCTTCATATTTGTAGACACAATAAAAGCAATTGAAATACTCATGTATCTTTCTCCCTGCCAAAGCACTATTCTCTACAATATTTTTTTTTTTTTTTGTCTTTTGTTACTTACAGTGTGCAAGGCACTGAAATTTCCACTAATTCCGTCACAAAGCCATTTTATATCTCACTCGGGGAAATGTTTTGTATAACAACTTTTTAAGAAATTTATCTATTTATTTCCTGTTATTTTCCTTGCACCTGGTTAAAATACCTCTAATTTTTCATTACTTTTTAATTTTCCAGCCAAGCATTACATACTTATTTTATTTAAGACTTGCTCATGTGTCAATTCTTCAGGCACCTGGTTCTGAAGTCTTTCCAAGTATTGATTATCTTTCTGGTAAAGAGGTGCCTATAAAAGAAAGGAGGATACTGAGTACAAAGGGCTGGTCTCCAGGCAGATGTAAATAATATAATTATACATCCCTGGTCTATGGCATTGATTTCTTTTCAGATTATGAGAGGATTTTTATCTACTTATGAGCAGTAACCTAATTTCTAGTGTTCTGCTTAATAACTCCTTCAATTTAGTTTTATTGTCACAGCTTAGTGGTTCCTTAGTGTCATTATATTCTCTGAGAGAAGAGGGATAACATGAGGATTTCTATAGAAAGCATGACTGTGGTAGAAGTGCTACTTCTTATTCTTAACAGACGTGGTATGATGGCCTATAAACATTTCAGATATACTGAGGCTGGTAAGTGGAAGTGTGTAGCAAGTACAGAATCCCACATGAAGAATAGAAATAAACCTGGGAAATGACTCCTTAATGAGCTATTAAGCAGATTATTGCACAATAAACATATCCCTTAACAAAAAAACAAGCAGCACAGTAGGTGCATTTCTTTATTAATCCTTAAAAAATTCTTGTTTATTTTTTATTGCCCCTGTTTTTCTGGATTCTCTTAGGAGCAGTTCCGGGTCATTTAGCACTTGTCTTTCCTCCAAAACAGAGGCTTGATCATATGGGTTTGACATTTTACTTTCTGCTGATTTTAGTAAAGATAGATCAGTGTGATGGATGGTAACACTGAAATACACAACCTGTCAAGAATATCTTACTTGGTTTAGAAATAGAATATATTTGTGTGAGATTTTATCAGTATATCTAGAACACACTAACAAGATGTTCCACATACTTTCAGTGATTACTCTGAGGTTTTAAAAAAATCATTATAATTTTTCTTGGTGGGATAGTGAAAAGAATAATCTGTGTTATCTGTCCTTTAAAGGATACATGCTGTCATCTAAAGCAGAAAGCATAACATTTGGATAAGAAATTATATTATCACCCTTGGCATAATTGTTATTTGGTCATTAATAAATGATAACTCATTCTCAATACAATTTTATAGTTTTCCCACATACAGATGCCTAGCCTCAGAAATTTTTACTGAAACCTAAAGATCAGAAAATACTAAGTTCCTATCTCCCCTTTTTAAAGATGTTTTTTTTAAATGGACACATCAAAATTATTTATTATCTTCCAGCCTCCATAAACTATTTTGAAAAATTACTTCTTCTCAGGGAATAGTAATTGGTTGTTAAAAAAATACACCACCACTCTTCAGAATTTATTACTGAATAACAGTAAACAACTCACTTCATTCGCATCCTGGCTTCTGAAGTTAAAATCATATTCTGGCAGTTTGTCCAGTTACTTGTTCTTGGTATACCTGTTGACATCCAGCTTACAAAGCAGAAAGGTTTGGGTTTCCTGGAAGTCATTTACCATATTTACTGCCTGTGTGTGGATGCCTTGCATAACTTGTAAGGTCTCGTATCACACTAGAAAACTATGTTCATCATAAAATCTTTGTTACAAAAAGACCTCAGGAGACCTAGATCAACTTGTCCAATTACCTACTCAGAGCAGGACTAGTTAGAGAAGGTTGTTCAGGGTCTTTTCCAGTTGTGTTTAGAACATCTCCAAGTATCAAAACATCTCAGCATCTCTTGGCATTCTATTCCAGTGCTTGATCACCCTAAAGACGGTTTCTACCCCCCCTTTAACCTAATCAGAATTTGTCATGCTCCAACTTGTTTCTGATGCCTCTTGTCCTGTCACTGTGTGCTTCTGAAAACAGACTTGAATATAACCTCTAATTGGGTGTTTGCACACATCAGTGTGGTCTTCCCTGAGCCTCTTCTTCTCAAGGGTAAAAAACACCTGATCTCAGCCTCTTCTCCTTCATCTTGTGTTCCCTAATGATTTTGGTGACTCTCTGCTTGACTTGCTCCAGTTAATTCAGTACCATTCATATCCTGGAGAGCCCCAAATTTGCTACAGTACTCCAGATATGGTTTCACAAGTTCTGAACAGAAGAAAGTAATCACTTCTCCCAACCTTCTGTCTTCACTTTTACATATACATCCCAGTAGACAGTTGATCTTTGCTGCAAGAACATCTGTTTTTCTACCAGGATACTCACACCCTTTTCTTCAAAGCTGTATTCTAGACAGTCGACACCAGTCCATTCTGTTGCATCACTTTATTCTGCCACAGATGGAGAACTTTGGTTTTGCCTTCATAAGGCTTCTCTTGGCCCATGTCTGCAGCCTGTTAAGGTTTCTCTGAATAACAACTCAAACTAAACGCTCCTCTCAATTTGT